GAGTTCGGTTTCAACACAGTACTCGAATATAGTACCTGCGATAACGTCTGTTGCTATGGTAGAGTGACTAGCACCTGTGTCTAATAGAAACTTACCGTCGAACTCTGGTATTATAATGTATGGTAGGAATTTCTTGTCTTGAAAATTAATCGATACTAGGTCCGGTTGTCTTGGTTGATATCCAAGGTAAAATCCTGATCGTAACTTACCTCTTGTTCATCCAAGGTCATATTTTGGTATGAGCTAGTTAAGTCATTACCATCAGTGACATGGTTAGAGTAATCTTCATCACTGGGTCCTAGTTGATCCTGAGTGTTTATTTGACTTGGCATGTAGAAATTCTTGAGAAGCAAACTGTGGTTTTTCTGGCTTACCTGCCGTACGCATTGTAACGTCAGATGACACGGGCGTGGGAACCGGTGGTTTTGGAATGTTAGGCTGGTTCCTAAAGTTTCCGCTCCTAAAATTGCCTGAACCATTTGGTCTGAAATTACCTGATGATGGTCTGTTCTTCCATGGCAACATGGATTGAATCCACTGCTGACGTTGCTCGGGGGTAAGGTTGTTTTGTTGAGGTACAAAATTCGGTTGGGGTATAAATGGGGTAACTGGTTGGTTAGCGAAGTTAGTCTGTGCGAATGGATTTACTTGGTTACGAAGGGGGTTATTATTAGTTTGAGGTTTAGGTAACTCCTTTGGTTTCGCTTGAGACGTTGAAGGGTTAAAATAGCTTTGTCTATTGTATGCAAGCCTAGCCTCCTCTTGCCTAGCCGTTATGATAGCTGCTTCGAAGGTGTCTGGTTTGGCTATCCTTACACCTAGAGACACGTGGAAGTCTAACTGGTTGACGTATTGTTCAATAACCATCTTCTCATAGTATGATTTGTTGCCGTGCTCACCTACAGAATAAAGGGTATCTAATAACTCACGAAGACGTTTACCGAAGGTCTCGGCATCCTCTGTCTTAGCCCTACGCACTCTAGTGAGCTCCTGCATAACCTGGATTTCATTGCGTGGTTCTCCTAAACGTCTAATTAACGCATTTTTAACGGCGATCCACGAATTAAGACTATCTTCATATGCTATTGCATCCAAGGCCGTACCACTGAGCCTACTCTTAATTAAACATATTAATGCTGGATGTGAACGATCTGCTTCACTAGTTAAATTTAATAGACATTCTACCTCTCTAATGTAATAGTTCAATAATCTAGGATTACCATCATATTTTGGCATTAAATCTGCAATAAGTTTATATGGTTTATAGTTCGCATCATAATCTCTGAGCGACATTGTACTTCTGTAACTTAACTGTCTAGTGGCACTCGGTGCGAAACAATGTGAGTAATTCTACACCTGAGTTTATTCTAAGAAATTACGAGTGGTTGCCTACTGCGATTATAGCTTATAGACAGACACTTATCAATATAATAAAATACACATATAAACTAAGACGGGAAATAGAGCAAGGACACTTGGTAAAACGAGAGTACTTACCAAAATAGCCACTGCATCTCCTGTCGAGTCTCTTCTCAATCAGCGCAGCTTCCTCCAATTCTCCGGAAGATTTATCCCGATGATTATAAAGGTGTCCGACCGCACGATAGGTTCGTTGCGGATCGCGAAGGAACGATTTAAGAACCGTCACTCTTGTCCCGAAGAGGTATATTCGAAATTCGAGCGTCGCGAATCCTACCGACTGCGCCAGTTATGTTTCGGCGGTCGGGATTTTGATTAAAAAAAGATTTATTTATTAATTACAATTTAATTATATTATTAATCAATACAGGATGTTATTTAGCTGGTGATCGCGATTAGACTGGCTATCTAATGTCATTATACAATGCAATTGTAAATTAAGTAAATGCTGAGTTGCATAAAGCCCTAGCTGCTATATCATCAAAAGGGTTCGAAATGGTGGGTTACGATGAGTTAACTCCGGTTATGATAAAACTTGATATGATTGTACTTCTGTATCCTGGGCATCACCCTGGGTACTTTTTATCCCGAAAAAATAAACTTAATTGTGCCGCTCGATCCCTAGACAAGGTTAGATAGCCCACAATGGACTTTACGCTGTAACAGTAGGATCGAAGGTTAAAATGACACATAAAAACTTACAAAAATAACAAATACCGATGAACTTCAGAAACGAACATAACTAGAAAGTATACCAGGAGTTTATAACTAATTGCCGCCATATTTCCGTCTAATCGTCAATAAGACATAACGACTGAGCCCCTCTATTTATGAACCAACTAATGGGACAGGTAACACATAGCTCCTGCTTCCCATGCATCACTAAGGAATGTGTTTGAAGATATTGCTGGACATTCCTACCATTTCTACCAGGTTATAAGGTCGCGAGTAGAAATATGTGAGTATGGAATGGCAATATTCATGTTTTTTTTTTGCTGTGGCAATACTGAAGTGTAATTTCTGGTAATTTGAATTTCGATTTCGTTTTAACCCTTTGAGTACCGTCATTATAGACACAATTAAAGAACAATAGGTTGCGGTCACTGGTGTCCTCGCAGTGTTTGACAGTTTAATAAGTATATTGGTTTTGTTGACTTCATTAGTGTAATGACTTAAAAGAAGTAGGCAGAAGAGGGTTTACAAAATCTTCTGGTATGGATGGGTTGGTAATAGTGGTTTAAAAGTTTATCTTCTACTATCTGTCAAATGTATAGTCCCTTATTAGAAGCTTCAGAAAAATGTTTGAGTGTTTTTTGCAATTCACTGGCTTTATAATATATACTAGCAAAGACGACTAAGTACTAAGACTAGATTATACATAAATAAACCAACTTGTCCTACTATGTTACTCTACTGTTGGTATGTTACGTACTGCCGAATATATCTAGATTGACTACCAAAAAAAAAAAAATATTTACCAAATAATTTGTTGTGACTACCGATCATAAATCGGCCGGTACATAGGTACATCTAATTATAAAGCCGGGCGTACACTGAATCAGTGGGCACAAATAGATGCGCGTACGCATCCGACTCACGCGCCAATTTTAGTGTCCCTTACTCGTAACCAATTGACGATACGTTTATAAACTGAATGCACTTGGTTAAATATGGAGAGGAATGTGGAATGCAAGATCACCTGTGGACTGTGAACTTTCTGATTTTATTTTGTCTTCAAAGGAACATAAGTCGATGACATAGTCTTTTTTTAAGGGGGGAAAATCATCGAATGACTGCTCGGGAGCAGTGACACTCCCTTCTGCCTCACCCTCTTACTGACTAAAAACCACCCAATTCCTTCTCCTGCACGTCGAGCCGGAGCCCCGGTTACCCGTTAGGTTCTCCGCGACCGATGACATAGTCTAGCGGATTATCAAGGTGATGGTAGTGCGCAGGGCACAAAGCTGGGAGAAATGACAGCCAATGAGGAAGGATGGTTATTGAATGGGAACCACGTTCTGGCAAGTGGAGTGCAGAGCGTTCAACCAGAAGGTGTAGGTACAAATGTCTTGATAAAGGATGCACGCCGCTGCTAAACGCAATTTCTCTAAGTCAAAGTCAAAGCATTTATTTAAATTCCTTGATTATGCACTCTTGTAACGTCATATTGAATTGTTAGTGAAGTTAGTGCTCGTTCCAAAGTGTAGTTTCGAATGGAGAAAAACGAGCAAGAAACTCCATCGAGACTCTTTTTAAAAAAATGTTATTTACAATTTCACAAATACCTTAGTGATCCTTATCTGTTGTATATTATAATGTGAGAATAACGTAACAATGATACAGTGCTAAACTTAAAAAATATCTTAAGATGACTGTCTACCTGGTTGATTGGAACTCCTCGGTAATGTGTAATAACTAGTCTTGCAGCTGACCATGGCATACGGTATATGTCAATAGCTAGTTGAGGCTATTTGAACTTATCATCTAAAAGGTGATTCAGTTCAACCAAACGTAATATACATTTTAAGTAATACCAGTGATGACGATTCCGTCAAAAACTAATACTTAATATTGGTAATCAGTTTATTTATTTATCTATATCTATGATAAAATATATCTTTTTTTATTGCTTTATGACCCGCATAGCGTAAAAATTTCATAGTTATGTTTGATGAGCTGTAATAATTTAAATTTTCCGGTTTGTATTTACGAAATAATTTAAAACTGTATTGTTAAGTTGTGATTTAATGTATGTTTCATCATATCAACAATCATCATCATAATGAGCTTATATCTATCCGTTAACTGATTAAAAAAAGTCTCTCCAATAGATCGCCATTGAACTCAATCTTCAGTTCTTCAAATTGAGCCACTGCCATCCACTTTAGGAATATCAATAGTCCACCTATCTAGATGGCGCACTAAACTATTATCTTTGTGACTATGAACATACCTTTTCTATGCAAGAAGGAAAATGTATGAAATATTATGAAAAGTGTGTGACCGGAGTGATGACACGGCCACACAGAAAACTGACGTGAAGCTTGTGTGGTATTTCGTCATATGAGTGAGGTTATCGGAGGTCCAATTACAGTTAATCTCTCCAATCCCTGAATCCTCAAAAGGCCGATAACGCACTCGTAGCGCCTCTGGCGTTCCAGTTGTCCATGGGTGACGCCGATTGCTTACCATCAGGTGATCCGTCGGCTCATTTACCGGCTTATGCCATAAAAAAATAAAAGTAATCGCAACAAGACCACGTTCAGAGTTTAGATTGGTTGGTAGGTACTTATTTCGATTACCATAAACGGAAACAAAATCAAAACTAAGGACTCTGACTGTTAGCACCAAAATAAATAGGTGTCAACAGAAATGAATCAACTAATTATATGACGATCTGTAAGATAAAAGTAATCGGGGTTTTTGTAAAAATCGATTCCGGCATCGGGACAATGACTTCATATTCCTAATCTATATCGATGAAATCTAATAGTGAACGATGTCAAATATGTATTGTTTAATTCACTAAACAAGCATATTTTTTGTTGTGTATTATAATGTGTTTCTGAAAGTGTTTAAAAATGGCTTTATTTACCTTTCTAATTATCGTTTTATTGGCAGGTGAGTTGTATTATTACATTGTCAATTAGTTTTATTTTGTTTTTCGACTTCCATCTTGTTTTTATCGAATGTAATATTTTTATAGCACAACGTCACATGTATTATTTATTTTTATCTACGATAGATAAAATTAAATAGTTTGTGAGAATTACCAATTATGGCATATCTAGTTTTAGTAAATTATATTGCACTAGGCACAAATAATCAGTGCAATTAATGAGAATTTTGGAACTTAAAATGTCTACTACAATAAATGTCTACACTATAATTATGTTCCTAATTGAATACTTAAAATGTAACCTCAAATTAAGTGTACCTGAATTGTACGTTTTAAACTGACAACTAACAAAACACTGTTATCAGATAATAAATGATAACAATGTGATTTTTGTACTAATCGTTATCTAACAAGTCCTGTTTGCTAGTATTTGGGAGTAATCGATATAATTTACGATTTGAATAAAATATCGATACTTTATCGATTCTGCAAAGGATATGCCTAGGTAATGATATTAAAGTATTATCGGGTTTTTCCATTTTGAATATTGCTTACTCGTAAGAAAGTTTAGTTTTGTGAATAAATAAGTTTATAAAATCCTTTCTAAAAAGATAAATAAATATAAAAAAGGTAAAGAGAAATAATTAGTAGGTAGACGATAAAACAAATATCACTTTATCTTAATTTAAGCTCGTCTTGTCATAATTACTATCTTTAATCAAATACAAACAGTAATTGTCTAAATCGATTAAAGTGTTTTAAATATAAAATTACGAAAAATCATTTAAATATTCAATATTCTTTTATCTATCTGTTTTAAGTTTAGCCTTATATGATTAAACGGACATCAATGAAGCGTTCTTTATTAATATCCGTAGTTATCGTTTTATGACGAGGGCTTTGGTGACGATGAAGATTAATTAGTTAATATTATAATCATAGGACAAGAATTTTATGAATGTAATTTCTACTAAAATAAAATATACCTAGAATTAGTATGGTGTGTGGGAGAGCCATGCTTCGGCACGAATGGGCCGGCTCGACCGGAATGATACCTCGTGGCTTCACAGAAAACCGACGTGCAACAACGCTTGCGTTGTGTTTCGTCATGTGAGTGAGGTTACCGGATGCCCAATTATGCTAGTCTCTCGAATCCCCGTATTGTCTAAAGTCCTCCAATTCCCAATTCCCAAAAGGCCGGTAACGCATTTGTAACGCCTTGGTGTTTTGGGTGGCCATGGGCGGCGCCGATTGCTTACCATCGGGTGATGATCCGTCTGCTCGTTTACCGGCTTATGTTATATAAAAAAAAAGTAATGACGTCAATTCAGTAACTAGTAGGTACAATTTTTTTTGTGCAGATCATAAAAAGTAAGTTAGGTATTAACTAGAATAGGTTATTTTCGATCTCCTATAAGTGCAGTACCCTAAGGTGCAGGTATTACTGCCATATTGAGTTGGTTTTAAAGAAAATGAACCACGACTCAATCCTCCCGCCATCTTAAATCCCCAAATTCTCATGTCCCATCAATAAAACGTCTCAAAATTAATTAAATATTTCCGCAAATGTGACACTTATTAAAAATGCTGTATATCACATGAGTTAGGTACGTTAGTAAACCGATAATTAATTCTATATCTCACGAGAATCTTATATACCTCTATATAAAAATGAATCCCTTTTTCCCTTGGTCACATCACGGCATCACGCGTGAAGAATCAGAAGCTAGTTATAATATAAACATTACAGGAGCTGTTGACCCTGGGCGTGTCCGTCGTATAGTGGGAGGTAGTGACACCACCATAGACAGGTTTCCCTCCCTCGTGCAAGTCGAGAGTAGAAACCTATGGAACGGCTTTTGGTGGCAATCCTGCGCTGGTACCATTCTCACTCCTAGACATGTGCTGTCTGCTGCTCAGTGCTTTTTTGGTCCGTAAGTAACAATTCAAAAGTTTCCTATTGTCGAATTTTATAACACAATATAATTTGTAACTCGTCTAAAGTTGAGATCCACTTACTAATAGGGGATCTACACTTACTATCTATACCAAAAATGATATTTCTATAATCCTTCTTAAAAGACCGGTAACGCACATCTGACTTATCTGGTGTTACGCATATCCATGGGGGCGCTGATCGCTTACCATCAAGTGATTTGCAAGCTCGTTTTTTTTTATCCACAAAAAACTACACTTTTCATTCATTGCCTCATCATTTATAATCGTAGTTGGAATGTATGAATGAGATTATTACTGAAATTAGGATAAAGGATTTTGGTAAGAATACAGGAATACAGACCAATCTACGTACATTTTACCCCAGCAACAAATAAAGAGAATTTCATTATTTTCAGATGGTACTCCCCAAAAAACCGTCGCATCAGAGCAGGATCCTCATATCGCAATGCTTCTGGTGTTATCTACCTCATAGACAAAGAGATCAACCACCCTCACTATGATTACTTTAATACTTCGGCCGATATATCCGTGCTTCGAATCCAAACCCGGATAGAGTACACTCCGGTTATCCAACCCGGTACAGTCGTCGCTGCTGATTTTGTCTTCCCTGACAATATACCGGTGACGGTTGTCGGATGGGGTCATACTGCTGTATGTATTTTCTCCTATGTTTCGTGTTGGTCCTTTGGAGCTAGCATGTATTTTTGAAATTGTGAATTGGTCATTGTATAGGCGAGCCCATAATCTGTTTGTACCAGAATTTAATCATCTTTTATTCATATTTTATAATTATTAGAACATTTAATTTTATAATTTCGTACCGGTTATTTTTTATAATTCTTCATCTTGTTTGATTTAGAATTACACATATTAAATGAAAAAGAGTAACCAATGGAGTTTCTTGCTCGTTCTTCTCCATAGGAAACACCTTGGAACGAGCAACTAGCTTCACTTCCAAATTTTTGTTGTTGACGTTCAAAAGTGCCTTCCTAGGCTAATTGAAATAATTGATTTTCACTTTGACTTTGTAAAATTTTTAGCTACAATATAAACTTTTTTGCAGTACTACGGCGCGTATTCAGATGTTCTTCAAGAGACGACGGTGATCACAGTGAACCGAGAACTATGTGCTAAACGCTACAGAACCCTGAACACGCATCGTAACATTACTAACACTATGCTCTGTGCTGGGGTCTTAGGTGTCACCGGCAGAGACACCTGTACTGGAGACTTTGGGGGTCCACTTTATTACGGGCACATCGTTATTGGTATTGCCACTTGGGGTCATCAATGCGGTCATGCCGATTTTCCTGGGGTATACACGTCTGTGGCTTCCTATACTAGATGGATTGCTGCTGTAGTTGTATAAATTACTTCAGCTTTTTCTACTAAATAAATCTTTATATGTCAATGGAGCTTTGGTTACTCATTTTACTTCTAACCTTCTTCTTACATTGTCTTAGAACAGGATAAAGTTTTACGAGATTTAGGAAAAAATTTAGACAACTTTATTTTTAACATTTTTGTTCTGTATTTTCCTTTGGAAAAATACTAATATTATGCAGCATGATAACGGCGTGCTTTCATAATTTATGATCATGACCGATAAGTTAAGTTACTCACCAAATTTTGTGTAGGTTATTGTGTTTGTGTTGTTAACACTATTCTGGATTGCTTTATATTATACTTTCTTTATGGGTTTCTGAGACAGGTTAGGTGGTGATGATGTTTTTGCCTCTCGACAAAGTCATAGTCACCACCTAACCTGTCCTGTGTACCTTTTTTTTTTTTTTTTTTTATGGGGGGAAATCCTCATGGACTGCCTCCGCCTGGGGAAAGGCGGAGGGGTGTGCCGGACTCTTACCGGCTAAAACCACCCCAGTGTCTCCTCACACGTGCGTGCGGGGCCACGGGAGTCCAAATTCATCCGCAACCCCGCATTACAGTGCCGGCCCGTATGTCAGGGCCCCGTCACCTGCACGGAGCAGTGCCCCACGTACATCGCCTCAAAGGCGCACGCCGACACCCGCGCGCGCCTTCGACTCGGGTCTTTGAAGTCGGGGGCGAGGACTACCCCAAGTCCTTCGCCCCTGGACCCATTTATGGGGGCCGGAAGAGGGCGTTGTCGGCCCTTCTCCTACGCCCGGTGCGCCTTCTGCGGTTGGGAAAGGAAGTCAGTAAGATCTCCCTCTCCCGTTCCGCAGTTTCCTTCTGCAAAATCACATCCTCGCAGAAAGACACCACCGCGTCCCACGACTCTGCGCTGTCCACCATCTTCCGCACTACGGCCGGCAGCGACAGATCGCTTCCTACTTCATTTCTGAGGACACGGCGCTGCTCCTCCCAAGCTACACACTCGGCGAGCGTATGTTGCGCCGTGTCCTCCCCGCAATGGACGCAGTGGTGGCACCGGGCGTCCGGCTCCCTCTCTATGCGGCACAGGTACTTGCCGAAGCAGCCGTGCCCCGACAGCACCTGCGTCACTCTAAACGACAGGGAGCCGTGCTTCCTCCTGAGCCAGTCGTCGAGTACTGGCCGGATCGCCTCGACGGTAGCGAGGCCGGCGGTGGGGCGCAAAAGCCTTTGCCGCCATTCCGTCACCAAGACCTGACGGAGCTCCTCTCGGCGCCGCTCGATTTGGCGCTGCACCGGCCTCGAGCCCCGTGTCCGCTCTTCCTCGCGCCATCGGTATAGTGACGCGAGTACTTTCGCCTCTAGGTCCCAGGGCGGGGATCCGGCCAGGACGCAAGCCGCCTCGTAGGAAATCGTGCGATACCCGCGGATGACTCTGACAGCCATCACCCTCTGCGGTTTTTTGAGAATAGCGAGAGTGTTGGCCGTCAAGTCTAATGCCCACACAGGGGCCCCGTACAGGGCCATGGATCGCACGATTCCCACATACAGCCGCCTACAGGCGGCGCTCGGGCCCCCCAAGTTGGGAAGCAACGTTGAAAGCGCGCCCGTCGCACCCATCAGTTTGGGCGCCAGCCGCCGGAAATGGGGTCCGAATTCCCATCGGCTGTCGAGCACCAATCCCAGATATTTCATGGTGGACTCGACAGCTATACGAGCCCCGCTGACCACGATTTGCGATCCCGGCACTGGCGCACGTCGGGGGCCGTGGAACACCATGGCCTCCGATTTGTTCAGGGCCACCTCCAGGCCCAGGCGCCGGATGCGGTTCACAACCTGTGACACCGCAGCCGTGGCTATCAACGTCGCCTCCCTATGCGAGCTCCCCCGGGCGGTTACGAGCGTGTCGTCCGCATAACACGTCAAGTCAGCGCCCAAAGGGAGCTCACCTCTCAGCACCCAGTCGTACCCAATGTTCCACAGGAGCGGCCCTAAGACCGATCCCTGTGGAACACCGCAAGACATGAGGTGCCGACTGACACCGTCACGTCCCCGATAGGTGACACACCTGCCCTCCAAAAAAGCCCCTACTATACGGCGGAGGTAGAGAGGCACGCGATGGTATTTTAGTGCCTCTCGAATACAACTCCAGGGTAGGGTATTGAATGCATTGGAGATGTCCAAAGACACCGCCAGTACCACCCAACCCTGGGACACCGTCTCTTCCACCAGGGTCCTGACGCGCATGATGGCGTCTATGGTGGAGCGCCCCTCACGGAAACCAAATTGGTTGTCGTCCAGGTTCGGTCCTTCTCTGCACAAGTGGCTCACGAGGCGATTTGCGATAATACGCTCGAAAAGTTTGCCCGCCTCGTCGAGCAGCACTATGGGCCGATACGCGGATGGCGAGTCCGCAGGGCGCCCCTCCTTCCTGAGCAGGACCAGTTTTCCCTCCTTCCACACACTGGGGAACTGACCTCGCTCGAGACATGCCGTGAGAAGCCCTCTCAGCTGGGGCTCTAGAACCTTCATAGCCAGGACGAGAGCCCGACCAGGAACGCCGTCGGGTCCGGGCGCTGTGTTCTTAGCCCGGAGTCGCAACACGGCTGCTCTCGTCTCTGCTTCTGTCACCTCGGGGACGTCGGTGGTCTCTTCTTCGGGACAGTCTGTAGCAGACGGCGAAACCATCACCGGGGGAACGTGCTCTCCTCGCTCTGGGAAGAGAGCTGATACAACTGCCTCTAGCAACTGGGCTTGCATACTCTGGGCTAGTGGAGGCGCCCAGGGACGCAACTTGCCCCGTACCCAACGGTAGGGCCGCCCCCACGGATCCCGATCTAAGGACCCCAGCAGCTCCTCCCTAGCACGCGACTTTGAATTGGCGATGGCCAGCCGCAGAGTCTCCTTAGACGTGCGGTACACCTCGTACAGCGCATCCTCCTCGTTGGAATCCCGTCGACGTCGTCTCCGGTATCGGGTGTACCGGCGGCGAGCCGCAACGCACGTTACGCGCAACTGCGCGATCTCGTCCGTCCACCAGTACACCTGGCGCCTTGCGGACTGTTGGCGGATACGAGGCATAGACGCGTCACAGATCTGCGTCATCGCCCCGCGAAACCACAGCGCCATCGATTCGACGTCGACGGGGCCGTCTGTCGTCGACTCCCAGACCCAGGACTGGATTAAGGCAGCTTCTTCGAGTAGTTCCCTGTCGATGCGCTTGAGCGCCCAACGCGGGCCGTCGTTAATCGGGGTTGCTGGATGGCGGCCGGTAGCGGTCTGGGCAGAGACGTCGAATCGAATATACCGATGGTCCGATAGCGTCTCCACCTCTACGGCGACTCGCCAATCGCGGACTCGGCTGGCGACAGACGGACTAGCGAACGAGACGTCCACTATTGACCCGCCCCGCTGTCGCACGCACGTGTATTCCGAACCCCGATTCAAGATGACCAGTCCAGTCGTCACTGCCCACTCTTCTAATACCTCACCCCGAGGGTCAGTAACCAGAGATCCCCACGCCGATGACTTGGCGTTGAGGTCCCCGAGCACCAGGACGGGACGAGGTTGATAGCGGCCTACGACAGCGCCCAACTCGACAAGGAAACTCTCGAAGTCGGCGAGCCTCTTGTTGGGAGAAAAATACGCCCCCACTGTGACAATACCGCTCGAGACCGCAGCAACCCAACCGCGGCCACGAGACAGGTCGCTTAGAGCCTCGCCAATAATAGCCACCGAACCTTCAGTGCATCCCAGCCAGTTGTCACGGGCGGGAACGAAGTACGGTTCGGCGACCACAGCCACGTGAATCGACCACTCTGCCATGCTCTGGAGTAGGAGATCCTGAGCTCTGGCACAGTGATTGATGTTGCCCTGGAGGAAATGGAGTTGTGCCATTATTGACACTCCATTCCCTCAACCTGTCCTGTGTACCTAACCTAACCTGTGTGGCAGAGATGCCACTAGGTGAATTCTCATCCCTTTACATCTAAACTAACATCTCTGACACATGTTTAGTTATAATTATAATAATTATTCTTGTTGCTATCCTAATTTAGTTGGGATTGGCATATTATATCTAAGTAGTACTGACAGTAGCAGCGCGACAGTGGCTGCGTCGCAGGTCGCGAAATGCTGCTCATGAATATGAGCCTCTAGCATGGCTTGAAACTAGTCAAATTCCTGAGTTCCTCGTCAAAATATTACGTGAGTAAACCGAAAACATAATAATTTATTTAATGTGATTTATTTCCATTTACGATTTAGAAAAATTATAAATATCAATAACACTTTACCAGGGCCTAAAATTCGATTAGCAGTGGCGAGTTTGCATTCGTTAATATTCGAACAATGATGTCGGTTGGTTGAAAGAGTAAAGACAATAGTATTTCTAATCTTAAACACAATTTAGGTAGCACGGTAGATAACGATAATCTAAATCACTTTTATTAGGGTTTTGACAGATTAATATAAATATGGGCCAGGATTAGTCTTACAGTAGTCTACGATTCAAACACAAACATGGCAGTACTGGCACTCCTGACCATCGCCCTTTTTGCAGGTAAATCTATTCATATTTCAATTAGTGCGTACATAATTGCCTTCGCTAGAGGCGCTACCGAAGGTTGAAGTCATTGAGTGGACTTTGAATCTAACCATTGCATGATCAAGTGTACGTATAAAGTTTCTAAAAAACAATAATCTTATTACCGGCTGAGAGATCAACAGATCGTTCACAAGAGGCAATGAATAAAACAAAAGCATCGCGCATCGCGCTAATGATGAAAAAAGTGCAATCAGTAAAAATTTCTACTTTATGGCAAAAATATTAAATCTTTAATTTCTAACCTAAAACGAGACAAAAATATCATGGCCACAAAGTGGAATTAAACATTTTCTCAAAAGAAAATGATTGTAAAAATCATTGTTACTTATTTCTTTACTTCCAGGTGCGGCCTACTCCGCACCTCAGGCTTCCCGTATCGTGGGTGGAACTGAGACGTCCATTGACAAGTTCCCCTCCATCGTTGCGGTTGAATTCCTTGGAATCTGGACTGGTGTCTGGGGTCAGTCCTGTGCTGCCAACATTTTGACTACTCGTTACGTTTTGTCTGCTGCACACTGTTTCGATGGAATGTAAGTATTTATATAAGACTAGCTTTTACCCGCGGCTTCGCTCGCGTCACAAAAGGATAAAAAGTAGCCTATGTGACATATACCAATACACACAGCGCTATACCAATACATTGGTTTTCCCTGGGGAATATCACATTTTCCGGGATAAAAAGTACCCTATTATTTAATCCGGACTTCTACCTTTACGTCTGTAAAAATTCAAAGCAATCGGTTTAGTAGTTACGGCATGAAAGCGGAACAAACAAACAAACAAACAAACTCACTTTCCGATTAATAATATTAGTAAGGACTAATGAAATGCTTGTTATTTATTCCAATGACCACGTAACATCACATCTATGAACGTTTGGTCCAAATACAGTTTTTATTCAATTTTAAACGTTTGTGCTACGGAACTTAAACAAATAAAGTGTTAATTTTCAGCTTCTACAACCCAAGTTACCGCCGTATCAGGGCTGGTTCCTCCTACCGTAACACCGGTGGTGTTGTGTCTTACGTGGATGTCGAGTTCAATCACCCCAGCTACGGTTTGAACGGTTACGATGGTGACATCTCAGTCATTCGTCTGCGAACTCCCTTGTCGTACAGCCCCGTCGTCGAACAGGCCACCCTTGCTCCTCAAGGATTTAAGATCCCTGACAACTTGCCTGTCGTCCACGCTGGATGGGGTGCTATCTCGGTAATCCAAATTCTTCCATTTTTAATTAAGTTTAGTTCTTTTTTTAATATGAGTGTTTTATTGAAATTAGAAACTTAAATTCGTACAATAGTTTATAGTTATAATTCACTGCTTAGCAAACTCATAGTTATCATATTCGTTTGATGATTTTTATCAAAGGAACCGAAAGATTTATTCGAGTTTATGGGATTAAATTACTAATCCACAGTGATAAAGGTTTCTTTATTCAAACGTGCTACTTATGGATTGTATGACGATTTCGTTAGGTATATTTTAACGTATCTTGATACCTTATCGGCTAAAGAAATATCTGATCATAGAATTCAGTCCTTTATTGCCTACCTTCAATAGGACTTGCCAAAACCATCTGGGATATTGTCATCATGTTGTAATATTTCATCCTTATTTCTGTTTCTAGCAAGGAGGACCTTTATCTCCCGTACTCTTGGAGACCACTATCTTCACCATCAATAATGAGCTCTGCGCTGCCCGCTACCTGACTCTGCCCAGACCTCTGGTTGTTACTGAGAACATGATCTGCGCTGGTATTCCTGACATCGGTGGCAAGGACGCCTGCCAGGGTGACTCTGGTGGTCCTCTCTACTACACCCACATCCTCGTCGGTGTTGTGTCTTGGGGTCATGGCTGCGCTAACGAGACCTTCCCCGGAGTCAGCACTGCAGTCAGCTCCTACACCAACTGGATCGCGGCTTCTGTCAACTAAATATACTGCGTCTCTTTTAGTCAATAAATTAAGTATTTGAAAGTTTTTAAGGCATTTTCTTGATTTTCCGCCTCAGTGAGAATATAGTTTTAACATCTTCGCCAAATTTTCTACTTGCATTGCATTGTGACGCCAATGCAGTGAACTCGACATCGAGTTGAGAATTTAATGAGTGGAGATTATCAGACGAAGTACATTCATTATTTCATTTGGTGAAAATATTGTTGTCACAAGCACAAAGAAGTAAAGTAAAATAGAAGTAAATTATGCACTGCTTGACATAATTTTGCTATACTTTTGATAATCGTAAAAGTTGTGAATGACAATTGCGCCATCATTTCGGAAGTCCAGTTTAGAGAGGGCCCGCATTAGAACTTGTTCATTAAAGAATATCGCCATTTTTTTAGAAAAGTTATTATGAAACTTAAGACCCCCAAGGTGTTTAGAAAAGCGGCGACATAAAAAATACTTTTTTTTTTAGGGGCAAAATCATTCAATGACTTCTCCTGCCTGGGTTAGGCGAGAGGGAGTGTCAACTCTTATCTTACTCTTATCTTACTGACTAAAAACCAACCCGTTCCTACTCCTACATTCCGAATCGGTGCCCCAGCAACTCTTTAGGCACTCCGTGGCTCCGTAACATAAAAAATATTAGAAGAATAATTATTTATTTGATACCAAAACCAAAACGGTAGGAAAACAATCACGAATATAACCAGCACCATAACAAATGATAGTGTTGAGATTTTTATAGTTAATAGGAAAGCGTTTGGCCTGTATTAATTCGTAATTGAAATTTTACGTTTACGCAAGGATGATTTTGTTTTATCTACATGGTTGGTGCATAGATTGCGGATAGGTTGTTGCGCCACATGTAACGGGTTCGATCCTCGCACAGAACCACTCTTTGTGTGATTCACAACTCACAAATAGACGTTTATGTTTGGAAAAGTGTTCATAAACGCATCCACATATATGAAATAATAATCAAATTATGTTTCAAGTTTTTTCTGACCGATTTGTTTATTATGGGATAGAGCGAGAAATACGCGAAATACCTGATAAGTAAACAATTGGTACCACCCATCACAATTTAGGGAACAGAGAGTATAGTTCCCTAAGATCGGAAAAGGAGGATCCTCCGACCAGGCGAGGTGATCGTGCCTGGCGGGCTTTCTGCCCAACAGTTGTTCGTTGGGATTTTCTATCCGTGTTTTTTCGCTTGTAAACTTTGTATGTGCGATGTAGGATTCTATGACGTCATCTGTTGACTTGTGACATGTGTCGCCACAACAACACCAAAATGGTTGCAAGATTGTTGCCGGCATTTTGAGGAAGGGGTCTTTGAGGCTTTGGGCCCCCGTTTTGATAAACCTATTTCTGAGTAAACAGTTTGTGTAAAGAAAATTGAGGATTCGAGAAGAATGAGGGTCATTGATCTCGGAAGGACCAAGGGAATTATCAGATTCTAACTGACTAGAAACTAGTTCGGTCACTCCTTTCACACAAGGTACGAGGCTGCGGGAAGCACATTCACTTTTGTGAAGTCTCCACATTTGACTGATTGTCTTGTCACTCATTTACGTACAGCGACTGTCCAACCTTTATATTCTTAGTTGGGTTAAATTATTTAAACTTCAAATTTACTAAAATCACTGTCATAGATGTTTAAATTGTTAGTGCGGTGACTGGCCAACCGGCTGCCGCGCAACTTGCCGCGGATTTGATTCCTGCACGGAACAACTCTGTGTTCCATCCACAGATTGTTGTTCTGGGTCTGGGTGTCGTGTGTATGGGAAATTGTATGTTTGTAAACCACGACACAGGAGAAAAACCTAGGGTGGTGCAAGGTTTTCTTGTTTTTTTTAAGAAATTAAGAATTATTCTCGGAACCAATCAAATGTTTATCCATTCGACTGGTGAATGAGACATTTAAAAAGCATATTATGTTTCAAGTGAAGCTGTTTCGGCACAGCACATGTTAAAGTGCTTTCCAGAATAAGATACACACTGCCAAATTTTCTGACGTTGCAAATTAACGGTAACTTAAATTAGAAATACCTAATGCTTTTTCTATCGTATATGTCGTGGTGGCCTGGAGGTTTAAGACGCCCGCTTCTCATGCACGAGGGTGCGGGTTCGAAACCTACCAATGGCAAGTACCAATGTGATTTTTTCCAAGTTATATGTACTTTCTAAGATTATTTAGACACCACTGACAAACGGTGAAGGAAAACATCGCGAGGAAACCTGGGCTTATAATTTCTAATTATAAGTTTGTAATCACCAATCCGCATTGAGCAAGCGTGATGATTAGTGTTCAAAGCTTCTCCGTTTGAGAAGAGGCTTTGCTCAGCAGTGGGTATTTAAAGGCTGTTGATGATGATGATGAATGCTTTTTTTTCTAATTTCAGTTATCCTAATGGATATGACATGGGAATCGACCGCGATAAGACACACAGCAACCGTTCGCCATCTGTTCACACACAGTTCGAAAAAGAATCAAGTCAATGCAAACACCAAGTGATTTTCAAACATTTCAATTTTACCAGTATTGCACCTCCGAAGTTCTCGTTAACACTGATTACTTAAAAGTGGAAGCAAATCCCTATAGAACATTGAATTATCTCTGGGAAAATTTGTAATTATAATCTGACACTGTCTCAGTGTATATTATCATTATTATTTATTGTATTCCATAGTTTAGTCAAGGAACCAGATTAGTTAATCTTAATCACATTTGTGGGGAATTTTGGTGGATGTCATATAAAAATTCTTCAAGGTTGGATTTGGGACAGTCTTCGATTCATACACAAACATGACAGTGCTGGCTCTCCTGACTATTGCCCTCTTTGCAGGTAATTATAAAAACTTATGCACGTCTTAATAAATCCATTATAAAGTTATGACACTTTATGAAAATCAAATGTTTACGCCCTTAATGAAAATTTCATCGACTGTCATTGATTTCAAGAGAAATCAATCTTTCTAACGCTACTTAACCCTTTGAGTACCGTCATTAAAGACACAATTAAAGAACAATAGGTGTGCGAAGACCGGTATCCTTGCGGTGTTTGACAGTTTATGAGCAAATATCTGGAATCAAAAACACGGAAGCATTCAAAATTGTTTTATTCAGACCTTTTACATTTTATTTCCAGGTGCTGTCTTCGCCGCCCCTCAGTCTTCCCGTATCGTGGGTGGAACTGAGACTTCCATCGAGAAGTTCCCCTCCATCGTTGCGGTTGAAAGCTACAGTGTATTTTTTGCGTCCTGGTCTCAGTCTTGTGGTGCCAATATTTTGACCACGCGATACGTTCTGTCTGCTGCACACTGTTTCAGTGGAATGTGAGTATCATTTCCCAGAATACTTTACATATTTTTGGTATCTGACCAGTTGGTATTCATGAGAAATTTGTTTCAACTGATGACAAATTTAAAAAATATATACTTATCTTCATTTCTAAAGTTTTATCTTTGTGTAAGATTGAAAACTAGATGCAATAATAAGACTAAAGTACCTAAAATTGATTTTAAATCAGACTTAACTTAAATTTTCAGCCTCTACAGCCCCAACTACCGTCGCATCAGGGCAGGTTCTTCCTATCGCAACACCGGTGGTATCGTGGCGTACGTGGATGTTGAGATCAACCACCCTTCCTATGGCTTAAACGGTTATGATGGTGACATCTCAGTAATTCGTCTGATTACTCCCTTAGTATACAGCCCCGTTGTGCAACAAGCAACCATTGTCGCCCAAGGATACAAGATCCCTGACAACTTGCCTGTTGTCCACGCTGGATGGGGAAGGATCGAAGTAAGTTTAGCTTTTTTGTATTTGAATTTTTACGTCTTTTATCAAATTCTAGCCAGTTAAGCAGTTTACTCCTGCTCGTTTATTAAAAATATATTAAAAATATAAAGTAATCCCATTAAACTTAATCTTAATCGTAGTTGGTAGATGTTTTCTTCACAGAACTACTCTGTTAAGAAAGTACCGGGAAAACATCAATAATAGGTGCACAAAATGTCTGTTATTCATCCAAATTTATTGTATCACCTTCTAAGTATGCTCCTTTAGAAACGATACACTTGCGCCAACGAATAATCCATTCATCAAAACATTTTTTAAACGCTGCTTCCGGAATTGAGTTCGGTTCTCGCCGCGAATTCTCCTTTATGTCTTCTATCGATTGAAAACGGGTGCCACGAATTGGTAATTTGAGTTTAACAAAAAGAAAAAAGTCAGCAGGAGCCATATCTGGTGAATGCGGTGGTTGCTGGATGGTATTCGTTGTTTGGTCAAAAATTCGTTCACAATGATAGCCATGTGCGAAGGCGCATTGTCGTGGTACAAAATCGTTGTCCAATCTAACAACTACAAAAAAACAAAAATTTGAATTTGGAGCCATAAACAAATCATCCATTCCCGATACCTTTTTGACTGAATGTATATTTTTGTTTTTAGTACGGCGGTGCTTTGTCTCCCGTACTCTTGGAGACCACTATCTTCACCATCAACAATGAGCTGTGTGCCGCTCGCTACTTGACTCTGCCCAGACCAGGAATTGTTACTGAGAACATGATCTGCGCTGGTATTCTTGACGTCGGTGGCAAGGATGCCTGCCAGGGTGACTCTGGTGGTCCTCTCTACTTCTCAGACATTCTCGTCGGTGTTGTATCTTGGGGTCATGAATGTGCTAACGATACTTATCCAGGAGTCAGCACTGCCGTGAGCTCCTACACTGACTGGATCGCGGCTGCTGTCAGCTAAATTCAAGACTTCTCTTTTACTCAATAAATTAAATGTTACAAAAATATTCTTTGGTATTTTTTGTTTTCCTACGCCCTGTACGTGTTATTGATTCAGTACGTTTACCAAAACTATCGAGTAGAGGCTTTTATGAAAATGATCTAACTCAAAAAGCAAAAGTCAAGTATAAATTACATATGTAAAACATCAATTAGTGATGCAGTGCTGTGATGTGTGCTGTTCTCGAGGAAGTCTCCGAAAATTAATTGGTTAAATAGATTTCTGTATTGTTTGTAATGTACTCATGATGTCTCTAGTAGCAACACCAGGGACATTGCGAGTGCCATCAAGCAGTAAGCCATCAACCCAAAAGTGTTGTCGCTACCGATCGTGTCATCATTTAAAAAGTTAAGTTTAGTTTCGTGTAGATCCTATAATTTATTTGCCGTCGAAGAGTATCGTGAACATTTGTTCCAAACCAATGTTCTGGACGAATCAGTACATAGTATAAAACAAAGTCGCTATACGCCGTCTGTCTGTCCCTATGAATGCTTAGATCTTTAAAACTACGCAACGGATTTTGATGCGGTTTTTTTAATAAATAGAGTGATTTTTAAGGAAGATTTACATGTATAATACATGCATATTGCACCCGTGTGAAGCCGGGGCAGGTCGCTAGTAATTATGATAAAATTATAGTCACAGAAAAGTACGAGTTATTGAAAATGTTAAAGCTATGCAGAATATTTCAAATTTCGATTTTAATCCTACTAAGCGTAGACTATGCTAACCAATGCTATGTATAGGATGATAATGTTAATGTGGACAATATCTTCCACAAGTACAAAGAATAAAACAAATTTTTTTCTACAAAGAACGTATAAAAAGTTATAAGTAACATTGTTTCTCTTTCATCATATCATCATCATCCAGCCTATAAATCTCCACTGCTGAACCAAGCTTCTTCTCACACAGAGAAGGTTTGAGCATTAATTGCCACGCTTGCTCAATGCCGGTTGGCGATTTCAAACTTATAATTAGAAATGTTAAGCCTAAGTTTCCTCACGATGTTTTCCTTCACCGTTTGTCAGTGGTGTCAAAGTTATCTTAGAAAGTACATACCTACAACTCGGAAAAAAGTTACATTAGTATATGCCGTTGGTAGGTTTCAAACCCTCACCCTCATGCATGAGAAGCGGGCGTCTCAAACCCCCGGGGCCACTATGACATGTTTCTCCTTTTCCTAATTCGTTTAATGTTGGTACCTCTAAATTGTAACTTGCTTTGGCTAATTGTAATGACTGCCATCTGCTGTCTACAAGCCCCATAGCGTGATGTCATTTTATATCATTTTACAATTTCAGTTAAATTCAATGTTGATGATGAACTTTTTTTTAAGAGGGGAAAATCATTGAATGACTGCTCCCACCTGGGTGAGGTGAGAGGGAGTGTCAGACTTTTACTGACTAAAAACTACCCCGTTCCTTCTCCTGCACGTCGAGCCGGAGCCCCGGTTACCCGTTAGGTTCTCCGCGACTTGATGATGAACTTGGATTGGTTGATTCCGTACTGTAGGGAACCACTGCAATTGGTTACCAGTTTCCTTGGTCTCGGTTACTAATCTTGGTTGCTAATAGTCAGTTGGTCAATTTTACCAATTAGGCCAAAATATTAAAACAAAATAAAAATGCCATATTGAACGTCGTCAAACAAATATTCAAGAATAACTACATAGGAACCTACAGTAGGAAATTGAAGGAGTCAATGTCAAGTCAATTTAAAGTCAAAAGTCAAAATCTACTACTAAACGGCTACGGCTAAACTAAAAACCGCAGGTTACTCACGTGAATATACTGAGAAACATAGGCCATTCTAAATTAATTTAGTATGTCTCACGATAGTTATTATAAAAACATAGGCCATTTTATTTTTATTACACGGGAATGCGACCGAAGCATCTGGTAGAAGCTAGTTAACTATAAGGAATGACAACCGAGACCGATGTACTGCTTAAAGTGCTTTCCGAAACACGACATACACCATACAATTACCTCAAGTTAAAAACACACGGTAATTACAAATAAAAAAACGTATTACCACCACTTCTATGATACAGGATCCAGTCGTTACATGATGCACAGCAGTCAGCAGAATGATACGCCAACCATCAGACACAGTATAAAGAAGAATAGAAAAATAAGTTCGATAAAAAAATAAATAAGATTTTGCAACAATTTACCAATATTGTGGCTCCGAAGTCTTCTTAAACAATGATCATTAATTAAAAGTAAAAACCCTTTTGGAATCAGAATAATTATCTTTGGGGAAATTCGTAATGACAACGTAATTAATGGCGTCGTATTGAAGTTTATCGTGATTATTATTTATTATATTTCATAGAGTAGGCAAAATTGTGATTAGTTAATCTTAATCACATTTATGGGGAATTCTGATGGGTCTAATATAAAAATACGTCAGGGTTGGGTTTGAGACAGTCTGTGATTCAAACACGAACATGAAAGTACTAACTCTCCTGAGCGTTGCCCTCTTTGCAGGTAAATATAACTCAATAACAAGTTATTGTGAGACTATGCCTATAACAATCAATATAATTTCAAACCCCAAGCATTGCAAGCTTGCAACTTTCTTCCATAAGAACGAGAAGTGGTTGTCCAATTATTTAAAGTTACGCCGAAAATTATATTTTTCATTCCAGGTGCAGCCTTCTCGGCACCCCAGTCTTCTCGTATCGTGGGTGGAACTCAGACTTCTATTGAGAAGTTCCCCTCTATCGTCGGTGTTGAATTTTTCGGCATCATTACTAGGACCTGGTCTCAGTCTTGTGCTGCCAATATTTTGACCACGAGATATGTTTTGTCTGCTGCACACTGTTTCCGTGGCCTGTGAGTATTTACATCTAAATTTTCTCAAGGAAATAATCGTTTAGCCCTAATTTATGGATAAGACATTCACCAAGTTTTCCTTTCAGTGTCTTAATTTTGTACTTCACTATTAAAAATATTGATTCTATAAAAATTGTTGAATTAATTTTAAGAAACGTTCTCAAAACTTTATTTTCTGACCTATTGAAATCTTTGACTGAATCTATCATTAACTTATCTTTTAGAACAGCGTATTCATCTTTAAATTAGTTAAGACACTAACAATAGTAATCTGACTAAACGAACGAAGATTTCAAATCAGATTTTTAAAATTTTCAGCTTATACAGGCCAAGCTACCGCCGTATCAGGGCTGGAACTTCCTACCGTAACACTGGTGGTATTGTGTCTTACGTGGAGACAGAATTTAACCACCCCAGCTACGGCTTGAACGGTGCTGATGGCGACATCTCAGTAATTCGTCTGATCACTCCCTTAGTATACAGCCCCGTTGTGCAACAAGCAACTATTGTCGCCCAAGGATACAAGATCCCTGACAACTTGCCTGTTGTCCACGCTGGATGGGGTAGGATCGAAGTAAGTTAAGCTTTTTCGTATTTGAAATTTTACGTCTATTATCAAGTTCTAACCAGTTAAACTGTCAAACACCGCGCGATCACCGGTGACCGCAACCTATTGTTCTTTAATTGTGTCTATAATGACGGTACTCAACGAGTTAAGGAGTTTTTTCAGGCCGTTTTATAACTAAAAATATAAAGTAATTCTATTAAACTTAACCTTTATCGTAGCTGGTGGATGTTTTATTCATAGTATATTTTTGTTTTTAGTATGGAGGTGCTTTGTCTCCCGTACTCTTGGAGACCACTATCTTCACCATCAACAATGAGCTGTGTGCTGCCCGCTACCTGACTCTGCCCAGACCAGGAATTGTTACTGAGAACATGATCTGCGCTGGTATTCTTGACGTCGGTGGCAAGGACGCCTGTCAGGGTGACTCTGGTGGTCCTCTTTACTTCTCAGATATCCTCGTCGGTGTTGTATCTTGGGGTCATGAATGTGCTAACGCCACTTATCCGGGAGTCAGCACTGCCGTGAGCTCCTACACTGATTGGATCGCGGCTGCTGTCAGCTAAATGAAAGTAAAAGCGCATATGTACTTTCAATTTACTTATCTGCATCTAATATGTGATATTGTAAAATTGTATTATGTTATGTCTTGTATATAAATCAATAAATGTAAGATATTACTAAATTAAACTGTATATAAATGTGTGAAACTTCTCCATGCTATTTATTTTTGGTTTCCCACACCTCGTCGTTAGTCGTAAAATTCTCAAGTTTCACTGCAATTTTGTTAAATAAATAGTTGATTGTAAAGTTATCGCTTGAGTAGTAGTAGTTATCAGCGATAACGAAGTGATATGTTACAAGAAATAATTGATATTCGAAGCGACATTGAAGGATTATAAAAGGAAATATACCGTTATTTAGGTAAATTTTCATCTTAGTTTCGTTTAATCTTCATCATCAGTCGGAAGACGTCCTCTGCTGTACAAAAGCCTACCCCTTAGTCCTCCACATTTAAGACAACTCAGAACACGCATCCCCTGACTCCTCGTATGTTTCCTTTCACATTTTTCCAACCGATTGATATTGCGATTGATATTTGCTTTCACAATAAAATAACTTGTAGAAAGTTCTTGGTTAAATCTATTGTCCGATGTTTTGAGCTTCAGTCTGTGACATCAAATATTGTCATATTCTAATACAGTTATACATATAGTCTTACATACTTGAATACAAGTACGGCGTATAGCGTAGCGTAAAGCGCGGGTCACGCCTCAAAAAGCTATCAGACCAGCACGGATGGGGGCCCAATAGCTGATGGCTGATGCCGATATGGAGTCGCGGAGAACGTAAAAGGTTATCGGGGCTCCAGCTCGAAATGCAGTAGTAGGTTCCTCCTGCTTCACCCAGACAGGAGAAGCCATTCGATGATTTTCCTCCCTTAAAAAATATAATTGAATACCGTTTTGAAATATTATTCTACTTGTCCTAATGACAATCGTTAAGACCGAGTAAGATCAAAAAAATGTTATTATCTTATTGACTGATCTTTAAGATTTTAGAGTAAATTATTTTGAGAGTTAATCTATCGCGAAATTAAAAGTGCATAGACCCACAACAAAGGTATTATACAATGTATTACAAAATTTCCAGAATCTAGATACTTAAATAAAAATTAAATTATCTCTAATCAGTAGTTTTACAGTGTCTTATTGACTATGGATTTGAATAATCTTTATATTTTTATAATAGAGTTATCAAGTTATAAAATTGTGGGTGGAAAGTTATATTGTCACAGTAGACTTCGACATGGCAACACTAACCGTTCTGGCCCTCCTTCTGTTTGCAGGTAATTATGGTATTTTTTTTAAATTGTAGTAGTTATAGTTCAATTCTTCATTATCATATTAGCCACAAGAGGTCTACTCCTGAACAGAGGCCTTATCCAAGATCAACTCAGGCTAAAAAAAATTGATAGACCTAATAGTCATAAGTTAAGCTTAAACGATGAAATAAGAGATGATATGGATGAACGAGTTGCTTTGATTAAGTATAATGATACTTACATAGTATTGTTATTAAAAGCTTAATTAAAATTGAGTTCTGAATAGTACTGAGTGATCAGAGTCAGATAAACGAAAAGTTTCTCTTGCAAGTATTTATTCATGTCTAAGTGTGGGAGAGCCATGCTTCGGCACGAATGGGCCGGCTCGATCGCAGTGATACCACGGCCGAGCAGAAAACTGACATGAAACAACGCTTGCGTTGTGTTTCGTCGTGTAAGTGAGGTTACCGGAGGCCCAATTACGGGGGGTAATTAGGGCTCCGGTAACCTCCCTAGTTTCCTGAATCCCCGAATCCTCCACAATTCTCAAATTCCCAATTCCCAAAAGGCCGGTAACGCAATAGTAAAGCCTTAGTGTTTCGGGTGTCCATGGGCGGCACCGATTGCTTACCATCAGGTGATCCGTCTGCTCTTTTACCGGCTTATGCTTAAAAAAAATGTCACTTATTTTATTCTAACTTGTGAACTGATTTAATTTTCAGGCGTTGCCTGTTCTTCACCGGCCTCACGAATCTCGGGAGGCTCAGAGGCATCGGTTGAGAAGTATCCCTCTATCGTGCAAGTGGAATTTTTGGGCACAGCCTCCGGTATCTGGTCGCAATCTTGTGGAGGACACATTCTGACCGCTCGCTATGTGCTGTCTGCTGCTCACTGCTTCCATGGAATGTGAGTTATTGAGTAATAATGTTTATATTTACTGAGAATGATTTAAGTCTATCACCACCTTAAATAGTTAGTTTTAAGTTGTTTTAAAACCACTATTTAAGGTGGCGATAAAGGAAAACTGTGGTTTCACTTGGACCAACAACAGTTTCAGATGTAAGAGAAGAACTTGGTCCAAAAATAAGTACTCTTTTTATATATTTGATGGTGTGGTGGTGGTATCAGACGTTTGACCACTATCTTGCCTAGTTGTAAGCGATGATGTGGTCTACAATGGAACATCGTCCCATAAGCAATCTATTCACTCGGGCGTTGAAGCCACCCAGGTCATACCCTTCAGGAAATACAGACTCTGGCAAAGAATTCCACTCCTTAGCAGTACGCACAAGTTTGATGCGAAGTGCTTAGTACGTGTGGGTGGGATTCTTCCTAAATAACATGCATGATATTCCAACCATATCCTCTATAATGTAGTTGGTTAGACTATAGTAAAATATAAGTGGGCAATGAGCAACGAAATCACCATTGTCAGATTGATCAAAGGACATTAGAAACAAACTACCCCTTCTTTAGTCTTGTGGACAGGTATGCATCATAAATACAGGTCTTAAACAATTGAAATAAGTTCAGCTATGTCCCGCCGTTGTGGCACACACTAATAAAATACAAATCAGAATTTAAAACACAATTAGTCATATTTAGTCTCAATACATTATTAAAATATTCCTAACCATAGATACATACAAATTCAATTTCAAGTCATAACAGTCATAATATAATTATAATTCATTATTACAACATTCGTCTTTGTAACACATAATCCCTTAATGTAATTACTCTCCTACTTACAGTTTCTACGACCCCAAAAACCGGCGTATCAGGGCTGGCTCTTCAGAACGCAACACCGGTGGCATCCTTGCCTACGTAGATGTGGAGATCAATCACCCAACATATGGTGCCAATGACATGGATGGCGACATCTCCGTCGTCCGTCTCTTGACCTCTCTGGAGTACAGTCCAGTTGTGCAACAAGGTCCCATTATTATTCATGGATTTGTCCTTCCTTACCGCCTGCCTGTTACACTTGCTGGTTGGGGCGCTACTGAGGTAAAGTTGGGTTTATTGTTTTGTAATATTTGTCTTAATGTATTGTTTTTCGTTTTTGTTAGATACGTTGCAATCCCAAAATGAGCTCTCTATGACGTTAATACATTCATTATTACAAAACAACAATTTAGAGATTTTTTGATAGGATAAGCCGGTAAACGAACAGACAGATCACTTGATGGTAAGCAATCGGCGCCGCCCATGGGCACCTGAAACACCAGAGGCGATACTTACAAGTGTGTTACCGACCTTTTTGGGAATTGAGGATTGTGGGGGATTCTGGGACTGGGGATATTGGGGAAGGGGAGGGGGTAATTGGGGCTCCGGTAACCTCATATTCACGACAAAACACGTTTCACGTCGGTTTTATGTGAGGCCGTGGTATTACTCCGGTTGAGTAGGCCAATTCGTGTCTAAGCATGGCTCTCCCACACTTGGATCCAGACCCTGGACTGAAACACTTACATCAAGTTATATTTTTGCTAAATAATTTATATTCCTTGACTCAACAACATTTGGATCAGCATTAGATCCAGCTGAATAAAGAAACCAAATATAATCTTAATTTTCTAATTACAGGTCGGTGGCTTAGCTTCACCCCAACTTATAGAGGCTAGTGTTGAAATTCTGGACACAGAAGTCTGTCAAGCAGTGTATGGAGCTCTGTCCATTCCTCGGGAGGTCACTGACAACATGATCTGTTCCAGTCTTTTGGACAACAATGCAGGAGACGCCTGCCCGGGTGACTTTGGAGGTCCTTTGTACTATGATGACATCCTCGTCGGTATCTTGTCCTGGGCTGAAGGCTGTGGCTCCAACTCCTTACCCGCTGTCAGCACCCGTGTGGCTTCATATAGGTACTAACTGGATTATTGAAGCTGCTGTCTAAGGAATGTTTTGATCAGCGGATGAAGAAGATCAAAGTATGCCTTACGTGTTTTGCCTTACACGATTTAAGTTGTGGGAGATTTGAATATAATTTTATACAAAACTGAGCTGTTGTATTAATAATTAAATTGAATATAATTATAAAGCTACCACTATAATGTTGACTGTTATTCTGAGCAAGATAATTCATGGTTTCACATTTCAGAAATGTGCCTATAATAGAATACGAAACTATTTTTTTATGTCAAGAGATTTCTAGTTAATTCGTGTCCCTCGAGGATTATTGACAGATGCACATTATAAGTGCTTTTTCGTAGTTATTTAAAAAGGAACAAAATAGTTTTTGAGAAAATTAGCAACATATGTAGGTAGGTATTATTTTGTAAAGTAATGCATTAGTCATCATTATCATCATCATCTCAGCCACACCATGTGCGCTGCTGATGATCTATAATTGCGAAAAGCGCCATCTAGCAGAAACAAGGCAAACTAATTATAAGCTGATAAAAGCACTTCGTACAACAGTCTTAATTCACACACTTTAGGTGAGATGGCGTTTAGCAAAATTTCGTGTTCAAACCTCGACCCGAATGTTTTTTTTTTCTGTTTATTTCTTATTTCTTGTGAATTATTTTTCTATATTTTTTCCTTTCATGTACTAAAACAAACATCTAACTAACTAACTAACCTCGGTCATCCAAGTAATAAGAGAGCTAAATTAAAGATAAAAATTTAAGTTATTATCAAGCTATAACATTTTTATAGACTAAGCCTAATTTTTATTTCATCAACGGCTTATAAATATCCCCCTGCTGAGCAAAGCCTCTTCTCGCAGGAGAGCATTAATCACCACGCTTGCTCAATGCGGGTTGGCGATTTCAAACTTATAATTAGAAATTATAAGCCCGGGTTTCCTCACGATGTTTTTCTTCACCGTTTGTCAGTAGTGGCTAAATAATTTTAGAAAGTACATATAATTCGGAAATAGTCACATTGGTACTTGGCGTTGGTAGGTTTCGATCCCACACCCTCGTGCATGAGAAGAAGGTGTCTTCAACCTCCGGGCCACCACGACACCAGTTTTTATTCACATAATGATAAAATGGGGTAAAAAGGTTTGAGCAGCGAAAAGGGACAGAAGAGGGGTGAACTATTCACCTTTCGAGCCCTATTCACCCCATTTTACGATACACAATAAGTTAATTCATAATCTTTTTGAACAATATTAGAACTCTAAAAACCATTCGTTTGAAATAAAACTAAATTATACAGGCTGTAAACAAAACGCTCCCGAAATGCTAAAAAAATAAATTACCTAATTTAACTCGTCGAGTACCGTATTTATAGACACAATTAAAGAACAATAGGTTGCGGTCACCGGTGACCGCTTGGTGTTTGACAGTTTAAAAAGTTAAATCGTTTTTATTTTCGTCATATTTATATGCAACATCAGCATTAATATAAGCAGTTGATTACAACTATTCACTACATAGTATAAAACAAAGCCCCTATCCGCCGTCTGTCTGTCCCTATGTATGTATACTTAGATCTTAAAAACTACGCAACGGATTTTGATGCGTTTTTTTTAATAGATAGAGTGATTCTTAAGGCAGGTTTATATTTATAATACATGCATATTGCGCCCGTGCGAAGCCGGGGCGGATCGCTAGTATTACATAAAAGGAACACGTAGGCAATTCTTTACTTTTATGTAAATAGATTTCTTTTATTATGTCGGCGTTCTTCGGGAGCGTTTCATTTAGGTACGCACTGTATTAAAGTACAGCGACTTAAATGTACCTTCTTAATTTTAAACTTTTAACCATGGGTATCTGAGGCTTTAGGCGTAGGGAATAAAGTGTAATCAAATTCCCTAAGTGTCCACCTTTTTACGATCTCCATTAGGTATTCGTTTAGTAGTAAGAATGTGGGAAACTGTATAAAGGACATCTACTTAATACACCTTTTTATGGGAGGTAAACGAGCATACGGATCACCTGATGGTAAGCAATCGGCGTCGCCCATGGACACCTGGAACACCAGAGGCGTTACAGGTGCATTACCGACCGTTTGGGGACTATGAATTGGAGGATTGTTGGGAATCCAGGTATCACTCCGGTCGAGCCGGCCCATTCGTGTTGAAGCATGGCTCTCCCACACTTATAGTTATAGCAAGCAAGTAGTTTGATAATCAGCAGTTCATGTCAATCATTTAAACGTTTATCGTTTTACAGCCCGCACAGTGGCGGTAAAAACCAAACAGTTTTTATCGATATATTGTGAATAATAAACATTATAAACAATAAAACACGATAAAGCAATCGAGTACGATACGGTAGCTAAACTTGTTGTTATCGCATTGTTTTGTTGTCCATAATCTCGGTGAAAAACCTACACCTATGTAAATTATTACAGGCTATTGTACTTAGCTTATTGAAGATCCACGTTTAAACTTACGTCGTGAATTAACTAAAAAAAACGTTTTAAAAATACTAGGAAGAGGGACTCCTCATAAGCAGCGTGTGCGCTGTCTACTCAATAGTAGACTACTCAGTATAGTTATAATCAAAATATAACTTACATGATTGTCTTTTACAAATACGATAGTTTCCTAAATTTTATTTTAATGTGCGTCTGGTAGATTATTTTAAAACATTAGACACGTATTTTTTCACACTTTCGACGATTTAAGTATTCATTTGAAACATCCTGTGACGTCACAGCGTGCTACATTTTACAGCACGTTGTGACGTAACGACCTCCCTCTCCTAAACTTAATGCCATCTTATCTAAGTATTGTAGGTTTATACAAGAAAATAAAAAAATACTTGTCTAACATTTTTTCATTATCTGACGGACGAATTCGTTTTTTTAATTTTCTTACCCTGGCAACTACCCAATTGTATCTTATCTGTAAACATCTTATTTTGCAAGACTATTATAAGTTTTCATTGTGTAACTGTTTACTGATAGACTCGTACTCAAGCAAATAGGATTACCTATTTGCAATATTCTCCGCGTACATTTACTCTTGTCAGTGAAAAATCATAGTTTGCGACTAGTAACACTCGTACACCCAAAAATAACAATATTGACAACCAGAGATGCTTTGGTTCAGTATATTTGGCTATGATACAAAGAATCATCTTAAAGTTTTGACCAGAATTTTTACTTCAAACTTAAATTTTAAGCGTGCTTAGTCACGAATAGGCCTGCTCGACCGGTGTGATACCACGGCTTCGCATAAAACCGACGTGAAATAACGGCCGCGTTGTGTTTCGTCGTGTGAGTGAGATTATCGGTGGCCCATCACCCCAATCCCTGGGTCCCCAAAAATCCTTAAATTCCAAATCCCTAAAAGGCCAATAACGCACTTGTAACGCCTCTGGTGTTCCTGGTGTCCATGGGCGACCCCGATTGTTTACCATCAGATGATCCGTTCGCTCGTTAACCATATAAAAATGGAATAGAATAGATGAAGGAAGGAAAATGAAATTCAACGGAATCAAGGGTAACCTGCACTTGATTCCAAATTGTGGGAGGTGTGGAATAATGGTATTGTTTCTTTCAAATAAATAAAAAATATTCTTTTCAACATGAATATAGATGAAAGAAGCATCTATTTCATTTCGCGTGCACACCATCAATATCTTCGCATGTTATTACAGATATTAGTTACGGATTATTTTATCAGTGCAAGCATCGAGAGCATGATTATCATCAATTCAGAGGCAGTTTATTAGTCTTATCGAAACTTAACTTTGCTTTTAGAATTCGGCAGTGCAACAAATAAATCCATGAACTTCCATTATCTCTTAGTTATAATTATTTACGTAAAAAGCTGTACTTAATATAATATGTTTATTACAAAATAGGTAATTTAATGATTGAGAGCAACAGTGAATAGGTCCCTAACTAGACGTTGAGATTTTTTGTTTTTTTTTTTTAAATCATCGATTGACTTCTCTCTCCTTGGTGAGGCGGGAGGGAGTGTCAGACTCTTACTGACTAAAAACCACCCCGTTCCTACTCCTGCACTTTGAGCCGGAACCCCAGTCACCCGTTAGGTTCTCCGCGACTCCGAGTTGGCATCCGCCCTATTGGGCCCCATCCGTGGTGGTCTGATGGCTCTTTGAGGCGCGCGCGGAACGCGACGCAATTCCAATTATCTAATTTAGAAATCACTACGCTTATAAGTTATACAAATCAAATTAAGTCACTTTAATGCATCTATAGTGTGTACAGGGTCGTTTGCATATTTAATATAATGAAGATACTGATATATAATAGAAATAGAACAATACAATAGGCTCACCCCCCTATTACATGGGACTCATACCATAAATTGTGAAAAGTGGTTGTTACATTGTACAGTGGCATAATGTACACCTCTGCCTACCCCTTCGTGGTTAAAAGGCGTGATGTTATGTTATGTTAGATCCTGAACGAAAAGATGTACAGGTATGGACAATAGGATAGATGCCTAATTTTTATTTTAATGTCCGTCTGTTAGATTATTTTAAATCATTAGACACGTATTTTTTTATTTTCTTACAGAAACGAATACTTTCGACGATATATTGATTTGAAATGTTGCGTGACGTCACTTCTATGTACATTTTATACATAGAAATGACGTTTTAGCCCCCACTACTAAACTTTGATTCGTTTTATCTAAATATTGTTTTATTATACGACAAAATAAACGTGTCTAATATTTTTTTATTATCTATGTTACGGACTAATTAGATTTTTAATTGCAAACTATGAATGGGGTCATCATCCCAATTCATAGTTTGCAATTTTATAAACAGACCCTATTACAATATTAACTAAACCCATATCAATATTAATTTGTGAATTATAAATCATTGGGTACAATATAATACGGTATTGATTAACTATGTTTGTGATAAGTATATAATATAAGGTGAATTAACGAATGATTACGTTACAGTCGCGGTAAGGCAATATGGCGGTGTTGGCTTTAGCAGTCCTTTTCATTGCAGGTAAATTAGATTGTAAAATTTTTAACAAAAAACATACAGCCGAATTGATAACCTCCTCTTTTTTGCGAAGTCGGTTAAAAAGTAGACCCATATTTTAGTTCATGAGATATTTTACAGACAAACATTAGATGTGATTTTACAAAATTACTTGTTTAAACATTTTTGTTTGCTTTATCATCAGTTGATCATCGTAACTCTACAAAATCACAATTCATTTATTTTACTTTGGGATTTACCATAGGCTTTGAGTAGGGTTTCTCTACCGTACAATTTTTTTAAGGGGGGAAACTCATCGAATGACTGCTCCCGCCTGGGTGAGGCGGGAGGGAGTGTCAGGCTCTTACTGACTAAAAACCACCCCGTTCCTTCTCCTGCACGCCGAGCCGGAGCCCCGGTAACCCATTAGGTTCTCCGCGACTCTCTACCATACCTTAGTGGCCATTTTGGCTTATACTTTAAGCAAGGCTCAATACAATAATAATTTAATGACTTGTATTTAAGTGCATCTTAAATGGTGTATTATTATGTTAAACCACGATAATCTCAGAACTATTCCGCTGATCTTTAAAATTCTCGTTTCCAGGTCTTGCCTGCTCATCTGCAGAGGAGGGGAAATTAACCTCGATTGAGGAGTACCCCAGCTTGGTGCAGGTGGAGAACCGCGCAGGCCTGCTGTGGCTGCAGTTCTGTGCTGGTAGCGTGTTGACATCATACCACATTCTATCAACGGCACGATGCTTCTCTGGACCGTAAGTAATTCTTCTTTAGTATTTCGTTAGCGATATTTTTTTAACAATCATTGACAACTTTCTCTAATATTGTATTGTATTTTCACGGTTGGCGCGGTGGCTGGGCAACTGGCTGTCGCGCAACGTGTCGCGGGTTCGATTCCCGCGAGGATGAACTCTTTGTGTGTTCCATGGATTGATGTTCCGGGTCTGAGTGTCATATGTATGTGAACTTGTATGTGTAAATGCACCCACGACACAGGAGAAAATCCTAGTGTTAACGTTATTTAAAAAAAGATATTTAATTTAATTTTTGTAGCGAAATATAAAAAATTCTACATCCAAAAATAGCAATGACGACCTTAAGTACCAAAAGTACTCAAAAATCGAAATAAAAAATCCTATTTTCTTTTTTTTTTCCAGCAACTACACAAACCGTAACCGCCGCGTCAGAGCCGGTACCTCCATCCGTGGATCTGAGGGTATTATCCGAGAAGTTGCACGAGCCTATCTCCACCCGTCCTTTGGCCTTTTGGGTAACGATGGCGATGTATCCGTCGTCCGTCTGGAAACCCCAATGACATTGGGTAACACTATCGCACAGGCTCCCATTCTGGGCGAGGGCATCTACTTGCCTTATGGATTACAGCTGCAGCTTGTTGGCTGGGGTACTACTAGTGTAAGTACTTTTTACATACATAACATAACATCACGCCTTTTATCCCCGAAGGGGTAGGCAGAGGCGTACATTATGCCACTGTACTATGTAACACCCACGTTTCACTATTTATGTTTTGAGTCCCATGTAATAGGGGGTGAGCCTATTGCCATATACCGGGCACATTTCCAGACTCCGTGCTACTACTGGGTTTTTTTTAAAAGCCCAGTAGTACTTTGCCCGACCCGGGAATCGAACCCAAGACCCCTTGCCCGGCAGTCGCACTTGCGACCACCCGGTCAACGAGGCAGTCTTTTCATTACTATCTTTTACAATTCAGTTGTAAAAACGACTCCTCTGGGTTGCATAGTAGGCATTGATCGCTAACCATCAAGTGATGCGCATGCTCGTTTTCCTTCGATCGTGTGGACGTGAGGGACACATACTTTCTGTACTTATCCCATTTAATGATTCCTATCATTCCAATAGTCATTGTCATTGAGAATTGACAGGAAATTACCCAGTTTCCTAAATTTTATTTTAACGTCCGTCTGGTAGATTAATTTAAAACATTAGACACGTATCTTTACTTTTCTCATAAAGTTTCTTACAAAATTGAATCTTCGACGATATATTAATTTGAAATATCGTGTGACGTCACAAAATACTACATTTTAGTAGCACTTATGACGTAACGACCTCCCACTCCCAAACTTAACGACATTTAATATAAGTATTGTAAAAAATACGTGTCTAATATTTATATATCTGACGGACTAATTACATTTTTAATATTCACAGGAACTACATGCATTATTCAAGTTCAAAGACCTACATGCCAAAATTCTCATTTCTTTTTCTCCAGGAGGGTGGAAACCGAGGCGACAGCAATCTCTATGAACTGGACATCTACACGGTCTCCAACGACGAGTGCTTAGAAACATACTTGGGGCTTGAAGATGTAGTGAACAACACCATCACAGAAAACATGATCTGCACTGGACTCTCAAGCACCAAGGGTAGAGATCTTGACACAAGAGATGAGGGAGCTCCTCTCTTCTACACCGGAGTGACAGTTGGTATCGTCTCCTTCGGAGTACCAAATGGAGAGGACAGTGTCCCTCTTGTCAGCACCGCCATTTCCTCTTACACCAACTGGATTGTTGAAACTGCGACTTTGTAAAGATACCATGTGATGAAGGGCGTTTAGATTAAGTTGTATATTTATAGTCTTTTAAAATAAAGATTGTTTTTCAATTTCTGTTGTAATATGTAATTTTTTTTTGGTAAGGGGTTTAATGGTAAAATGAGTTTTGTTGAAAAATCCTAATCCATCAAATGAAGGTTAACCTTTTGAGTACCGTCATTATATACACAATTAAAGAACAATAGGTTGCGGTCACCGGTGTCCTCGCGGTGTTTGACAGTTTAAGTCGAATATGAGCCTCTAGCATGGCTTGAAACTAGTCGAGTTCCTCGTCAAATAATTACGTGACCAAAAACATAATACCTCTAAGTATATATCATGTAAACATTATTTTTTTATGGGATAAACCGGTAAACGAGCAGACGGCTCACCTGATGGTAAGCAATCAGCGTCGCCCATGGACCCCTGGAACACCAGAGGCGTTACCGGTCTTTTAGGATTAGGAATTTGAGGATTGTTGGGGATTCAGGGACTGGGGAAAGGGGGGGAAGGTAATTGGGCATCCGGTAACCTCACTCACACGACGAAACACAATACAACGTTGTTTCACGTCGGTCTTCTGTGAGGCCGTGGTATCACTCCGGTCGAGCCGGCCCATTCATGCCGAAGCATGAGAGCCATGCTTACTGCACACTTATATTTTTATTCTATTTTTATATTGTAGTGGTCATGCATGCATTAATTGTGTGGGAGCTGCTCTGCAGTGTGCTTTGGCACAAAAGGGTCGGCTTGACCGGAGTCATACCACAGAAAACTGATGTAAAACAATGCTTGCGTTGTGTTTCATTTTGTGGGTGAGGTTATCGGAGGCCCAATTACCCCCTCCCCGATCTCCCTTATTCCTAAATCCCCAACAGTCCTCAAGTTCCTAATCCCAAAAGTAATGCACTTGCACCTCTGGTATTTCGGGTGCCCATCGGCGATGCCGATTGCTTACCTGTCAGCTGATCCGTCTGATTGTCAACCGGCTTATATGACAAAACAATTAGGAGGCAGCCAAAAAAAGCCTGATCCTAGGGGCATTTTCAAACTCGATCCCGCCCTCTTAATCTGTTCGAGTGTCGACATTTTCGCCAGTCGTTTAGTTCACCGTAATTATTATACAGTTGCAGCAATGTAACTGCCTGATAATATTTATTTAGCAGGCGATTCTAATATTTTTTTCTAGATAGGATTCTAATTGTTTATTCATGAGCAGCCTTCCACGACCAGCGACGCGACGACTGTCAAGCTGCTACTAACTAGCATATGAATTAAGTCGAATATGAGCCTCTAGCATGGCTTGAAACTAGTCGAGTTCCTCGTCAAATTATTATTTATTTATTTTCAGCCATGCTGGTCCCACTGCAGGGTAAAGGCCTCCCTACCCTCCTTCCACTTCTATGTATGTAAAGCTTTTTCCTTTTTGTTCGTCAAATAATTACGTGACCAAAAACATACTAATTAATTTAGTATGTCTCACGAAAGTTATAATAAAAAATAGTATCTAATTAGTACGGCATTTAGATAATGAAAAAATATTAGACACGTATTTTTTTATTTCTTTGTATAAAGTTATAATACTTAGCGCCGGTTCCACCTCCTCCATATAAGTACCTGATAAACTTATGTGACAGATAGTTCATACAAATTAAGTTCTTAATTCAAACGACTATCCAGATATTGTGAAACAGGCCCTTAGACAAAATGGTTTTAAGTTTAGGAGTGCGGTCGTTACAAAATGTAACACATTGTGACGTCGCACGATATTTCAAATAAATTTATCGTCGAAAGTATTTAATTTTGTGAGAAAAGAAAAAAATATGTGTATAGGTAATGTTTTAAAATTAATCTCTTCATCAACAGCCTATAAGTAGCCACTGCTGACCAAAGGCGTCTTCCCACACCGAGAGTAGAGCATTAATCACCACACTTGCTCAATGCGGGATGGCGATTTCAAACTAAGCCTAGGTTTCGTCACGATATTTTCGTTCACCGTTTGAAAGTACCTAGTGTCTGGATAATCTTAGAAAGTACATATAACTCGAAAAAAGTCGCATTGGTACCTGCCGTTGGTAGGTTTCGAACCCGCACCCTCGTGCATGAGAAGCAGGCGTCTTAAACCTCCGGGCCACCACGACATCGTTTAGAATCCAACGATTATAATTATTCTCCGGTGACATTTTTAATCACACTTACATTAAATTAATCTACCAGACGGACATTACAATTGAATTTAGGAAACTACCCTGTTACTTCGGCTCGGTGATAGCTTAGAACTATCAAGTTCAGACATTGTTTATTTTATTTATCAAATTCAAATTCAAATTCAAATTTTCATACCCTGTCATCACCCCAATTGGGGTACAGTTCCAACGTGAAACGCGATTAAGGCACGGCAACATATATATAGAGCAAAATATAATCTAATTAAATTACTTATAATATTATCACATAAAACTACTGTGATTTTTTTAAAAACCCAGAAGTACTTCGCCTCACCCGGGAATCGAACCCGAGGCCCGTTGTCCAACAGTCGCACTTGCGACCACTCGGGCAACGAGGCGTCAGTATTATAATAATTATGTATTTACATAAATCATATAACATTATCTTTATTGCTTCTCGATATACAATAGTAAAATACAATTTTATGGCCTAGATTAGTAATAGACCAGATTTTCATAGACTATGTTGACATGATTAAGAAGTTGCAAAGGAAGTGAATTTTGATGACTTGAGATAGATGATGATATATTGAATGTTTCACCTAAGTTCTTTTGGAACCTCCTATTTTTAAGGGGGGAAAATCATCGAATGACTGCTCCCGCCTGGGTGAGGTGGGAGGAAGTGTCAGACTTTTACTGACTAAAAACCACCCCGTTCCTTCTCCTGCACTTCGAGCCGGAGCCCCGGTAACCCGATAGGTTTAACTTTTGGAACCTCTATGATATCAAGTCTCTTCCCCCTTCTTCTGGCCTTTTACTATTATATTTTTAATGTCTACACTGAGTCTTAATAATGCCTGGTAGCTTACTCTTGAATCCAATTCTGATCGATCGACATTGGTATTGCGAAATTTCATACTCTTGAGTTGCAACACTAGCGCCCATTACGTCCGTATTGCGTGGATATTGAATGAACTAAATGGTATTGAGTTTGGCTATATATCCCGTACTCTATATGCTATATTAACAGCTACGATTGTGGTTGTATAGTTTTGATATTGATATTAAGATTTTATTGGATTGACTGCCTCGTTGGCCGAGTGGTCGCAAGTGCGACTGCCGGGCAAGGGGTCTCGGGTTCGATTCCCGGGTCGGGCAAAGTATTACTGGGTTTTTAAAAAAAATCTCAGTAGTAGCACGGAGTCTGGAATTGTGCCCGGTATATGGCAATAGGCTCACCCCCTATTACATGGGACTCATAACATAAATAGTGAAAAGTGGGTGTTATATTGTACAATGGCATAATGTGCACCTCTGCCTACCCCTTCCGGGATAAAAGGCGTGATGTTATGTTATGTTATTTTATTGGATTGAAATTGCATTGACATTGAGAATGGTTTCAAGAGTAAGCACCCTGATCACATATTTTTATGCATCGTGAAGTGTATTTCGATTTCGTCCCGAAGTAAAACGGTTCTGTCTTGGTAATACAATAGTTTTACGTAGAAATAAAATGTTTAAAAATATCTGGTGAACAACTGCAAAAAGCATACTTGGAAATCGCATACGAACTCACAGTACCTACCTACATTATCAAAACATCACACTATATAGAGGTATTCTCGAAGAGGTATTTCTCGTCGGGTGGCATGTGCGATGCGAATAGTGCCCACAAATTTACTTCTAGTGTTTCATGTGCATAACATAACATAACATCTTTTATCCCCGAAGGGGTAGGCAGAGGTGCACTGTACAGTAACACCCACTTTTCACTATTTATGTTATGAGCCCCAAGTAGTAAGGGGTGAGCCTATTGCCATATACCGAGATTTTTTTTTAAACCCAGTAATACTTTGCCCGACCCGGGAATCGAACCCGAGACCCTTTGTTTCATGTGCATATTCCTATGAAAACTTTTTGAACCTGAAAAAAATCACATCTATTTATTTTTGTTTTTACTTTATACATCAAAAGTAGGTACTCCTTATGGCAAGTGGTTTGTCGTGGAGAACCTAACGGGTAACCGGGGCTCCGGCTCGACGTGCAGGAGAAGGAACGGGGTGGTTTTTAGTCAGTAAGAGTCTGACACTCCCTCCCGCCCCACCCAGGCGGAAGCAGTCATTCAATGATTTTTCTTCCTTAAAAAAAATGGCAAGCGGTTTCAAACGAAAACGGAAACGTCGTTAATACATTTCACGGTGTATATACAAAACAATATAATTTTGAAAAAACAACCCAAAATCCTGACACTTGTTTAAATGATACCAGTTAGATAAAATCGCACCACAAAATAAGCTCCGCCCCTTGGTCTTCCGATGTTAAAGAAACAGGCTTGTGATTGGTTTAAAAAAATGACGTCACAACTGTCGATGAAAGTGTTGAATGAATTTATAATCTTTAATGAATGATGAGTAAGTAAGTTAGGACTGAACACCTGTGGGCTACAAGGATGTTTTTCTGTTGCCGAAGAACCCGGATCGATAAAAAGATTCGATTATTTTATAAGTCTAACAGCGAGTCGATTGTTGATTGTACCACTATACTAAGCACCGATTTTAAATGCTCAGTTTAATTTTAGAGGAATACCTTTGAATATTTGACAATCCTTCCATACTGAAAACTGTCAAATGTAAATTTTATTCTACGGTTTTTTTAAGGGGGGAAAATCATCGAATGACTGCTCCCGCCTAGGTGAGGCGGGAGTGAGTGTCAGACTCTTACTGACTAAAAACCACCCCGTTCCTTCTCCTGCACGTCGAGCCGGAGCCCCGGTAACCCGTTAGGTTCTCTGCGACTATTCTACGGTTAAGAATGATTAACTACCATGAT